GGGGGGGGTACACGTTATGCCATCAAACTCAGTATGACCTTTTTCTGTCTCTTAAAATAGTACATTTCCTCTCTTTAACCATTTGATATGTGTTCTATGTTCTGCTGTGAATAAAATATAAACTTATGAGATTTTGTTACGCCCAGTCTAGGGGTACAGGAATGCAACATAAGAGTTAAAAAAAAGAAGTGACCCCACCCTGGGCCCCAAAACCATACAGAGAAAAAACAATTTCTTAGTGAACAGTGATTTATTGTGCCTAAACTGAAGCGTGACTCCGGGGTGAACAAAGGGCAAAATAACAAACAAAACCAGCTTAATCAGTCAAGGAGGTGCTACCTGAACCCTACGTGATGAAAAGAACAAACAAAAGACAAATGCTACGCCTAACTCCCTAACTCAGGGGTCAGCAACCTTTAAGACCCAAAGAGCCATTTGGACTCGGTTTCCACGTAAAAGAAAACACTGGGAGCCGCAAATACTTTTTGACATCTAAAATGCAGATAACACTGTATATATTGTTTTTTACCTTTATGCTTTGTGTGAACAACTAAGGTGTTTTGTTTATGAAATCCATGAAGTGCTACAGAGAAAATTACATTTTATTTATGTAATTAACACATTTTGAACTCTTACAGAAATATAACAAAAGGAAAGACACCCAGCTGAACTAAAATGATCCATGTAACAAACCAGAAATGGTGTGAGCCGCCACCCTCATATCGCCTTTGGGCTTTTGGAGCCTTGACCTGGCTTTTAAAAATAATTGGAAAAAAAGCACTATGCTGCTGAAAAATGGAAAATAAATATTTGCAAAATTCTGCCTAAATATGTATTTTACCAGGTTAATGTGTGGGACGGGGCGTGGTCTGCAGCGCCGCTGCAGGGGAGGCGGACGCACCTGACCGGCACCTGCAATCACGCTTCGCCGCCTTAGCGTCTGTGCCATGCTGTTGTTGGTATGTGTCGGGCTGTGAGCCGAAAAGCTACAGCCGGCTGTATGCGTACAGCAACTGTGTGTGAAAAGTGGTCAATAAAGAGATGCTGAAAAGCATGTTCATGGAAACATCATCGGGTCTGCCGTGATATGTTTACAATGGGACTTCTGGTCCTGAACCTCTGCGCACAGCGTCTGCAAATCGGGGCTGAACAAAGTCACTTTCATCTTCTTTTTTTTTCTTTTTTGTGTCCCGTTTGAATCTTTAGCCATCAGAATTGTTTTCTTAAGGCCAAGAAAGATGCCAAGCGGATTTATTTTACCAAGTGGATCATCATGGCCTTGCCATATTGGT